TTGGGACGGAATAATCATACTAGATTATAATGTGATAAAATTGTTTCAATCATAAAACATGAATGTCTTATATTTTGTCTTTTATTTTTTTTTTCTTAAATTTTCAAGTTATTAAGTCATATATGCTTAATAAATCAACACTAGTAATAATAATAATATTGGGACATTTCTACAATTAAAATTTTAGAAAGCAAATGAGCTTATTTTCCGTCTATTTTTATTTATTTTTTCTATTTTCATTTACTTTATTCTTTTTTTATAGTCTACTAATTAAAATTCTTATACATAAACAATTTGGTTGAAGTTTTTCAAATTGATTTATTCAAAAATTCTTTTTCAACTTATATATAAAATATTCTTAATTTACATTTTTTTATAAATAGTTTTACAGAAATTTTTCTAAATTGAACTAAGTCTTCTGTTAAGTTCAATTTTACCACGAAAATAGAATCTTTGACTTTTCTTTGTTTATGTCTCTTTGACTTTTTTCTATTTATATCTCTACCAGGTCAGGGTAGTTTGACCTGTAATTTACAAAAATGGGATAATTAATTTTTGGTTTAATAGCCTATTTTGTCCTCAGTTTTGTTGGATAATGTCAATTTAGTCCCTTGTTTTAAAAGTGTTTGAAATTAATCATCACTTAATAAATTTTGTATCAACATCGTCCCTTCCGTATTTTGTATCAACATCGTCCCTTCCGTTAAATATCACAAACGACGTTAACCTTTTCTTTCTCTCTCTTCTGCTTTTATGTGGAATGCAGCCTTTTGTCAGTGTTTGTACCATTAATTACGTGAGCCCCTCACCTAAAAGTGAGCCTTCAAAGACGGTTTAAATCGCAATAAGACCCACCCGAAAAATTTCTCTTAAAAAAACCATGTGAATTTTTTATTAATGATTGTACCACTAAATATTTAATAAAACCTTTAAAGGAAAAAGTAAGACTCTGCACACTTTTATTAAACCTCATTATTCCTTACTTACATCATGGGTCCCATACTCAATCAAAGTTTCAATGCAAATTTTCACTCCTTCCTCACCCGTATATGTTGCATTCAGGAAGTTCTTCACCGTGAATATGTTGTAATAATGTTAGATTATTGCAAAAGAAAACGTTGGATTGCAACAGTCTAAACTTTAATTGTTAACAACGTTCTTTTTCTTAAATGTCCCAACAGTAAAATATTTAATGATTTTTATTTTCTTTTATTGATTTTATTCTCCCTTAGCTTTATAAATAGAGAGCACTTCCTCCATTCCAAAACACACCAAAAATAAATCTTCTCTCATTTTCCTTTCTTCTTTTCCTCTTCTAAAATTATTCTGGATTATTTTGTACTCTTTTTAGAGATCCCTGCTAGTTCTGAGATCCTCAAAGATATTTTGGGAAGTTCTTGTTGTATCTTGGGGGACTTGCGCAATATACCGCGAATAAGTCCTTAAGGACAGTGAATTTACAGGCCTCAAAAAATATTGTTCGTGATTACGTAAGCTTTTATACAATAGAATAATCTTTATTTCTTTTCTTCCAAAATCTCGCAGCCACCCGCGTCTTTGCCTTCCAAGCCTAACTGAGACGATGGGTGTTGTCTCCTGCATGCAAACTCAAAACTAGTGAATGTTCAATGAAATCCAACACCCCTCTATGACCATTCTCCCCTGCACTCTCTTTGAAATTCACGTTCCACCCTACCCTCTTTATTCTCTGTTCTTTCTTTTTATTTAAACCACACCTATTTCACTTTCTCCTTTCTTATAAAACTAGTCAACCCTAACCTTATTTATTTTACAAAATCCCACTCACTCCACTACACACGTGAAGCTCTTGTAATGATCCCTTCCGTTTCGCTCCTCGTATAAAATCATGGTGCCCAAAGCAACAACATTGGTAGTTGAGTTTTTAGTTGGAAGATAAAAGAAGAAAGTGTAGAATGTGAGAGTTGGGGTATTAATCATGATGGGAAATGATAGTCTGACAAATAAATTTTTACTTTCAACATTATTTTTTTTTCTTTTTCTTCAAATATAAAAATTTACTCTTTTATAATATCTTACTGTGGTAAGTATGTGAAATGAATGAAAATAATTGTCCCTTTATTATATAATCATATTAGAGTGAATTTTTTGAAAAAACTAATACCATTATTTTGTGTGGATTTTCTGACACGTAACTTGAAATCATTTTTTGGTGTAAAAGGTATGGAAGGTTGTTGTTATACGTTAAAATGGGAACTTGGTATCTTGCTCGAGTTTTCTCTTTTCTGGGAACTTATATGCATGAATGCATGAGGGTTGGGCTGGAATATGGAGTTTTAGGGTTGAAAATTTAGTGAGTAATATGTAGGGAGTATGTAGACGTTGGGGGTGTCCTTCCTGCGCGATCACGTGGATAGGTGGAGAGGTTTGGTGTTCAAGTGGAAAGAAAGAAGGCTTGGTAAGTTACTATGGGAATGGTTAGGGGGAGTAGTGACTTTTGTTGGTGTGGCGTGATGAATCCTTGCATGCACAAAGATGTAAGTTCTCCTCGGTTTGGCTTGTGATGTGCATCTGTGAGTGCGAGAGGAAAAGGTGAAAGAAAGGATTGGTGGCAATGAAAGAGTGAGGTTTGCATGGAAGAAGTCGTCTTGTGGTTTTAGCTGGAGCAAAGAAAATGAGTGAGAAAGAGAAGAGAGTGGTTCAGTATATTGGAGAAAGAGAGAGTTTGAGAGTACTGAAATGGTTACATTAGTGGAGTGGAGGGTGGTGTGAGATGTGGTTGGGTTTTAAATTGGAATTGGGTGAAAAATTGTTACTGCATGGGAGTGTTCTTTTGTTACGTAATTAGTAGATAGGGGGAGAGAGAATTTAAGAAGAATAAAAGAAATATAAAGGGAAGAAAATAAAAGAAGAGTAGAATGATTAGTAAATAAGAAAAGAAGAATGAAGGTTGCAGGAAGGTTCATACAGGGTTGTCATGGAAAAGTGGTTCTTATTTGGGTGAAATTAAAAATGTGGGTCCCACTTTGTATATAAGAAGAAGAAGAAAAATGTTTGGTTAGGTAGTACCTTTAGTAGGAAGAGTGACTGGTGATGTGACATTAAAAAGCTGACAATTAATTTGATGCACTGAAAGTGAAAAGTCTATTACAGAGGAGCAGAGTAGAGAGAAAAAAAGTTAACACCGTTTGTTCTTATTTAACGGAATGGACGACGTTGACACAAAATTTACTAAGTGAGAACCAATTTTAAGCATTTTTAAAATGAGAGACTAAATTAACATTATTAAGCAAAACTAGGGACAAAATAGACTATTAAACCTTAATTCTTTTTTACAAATTTAAGATAAGTCATCATGATCAGTTTTGGTGACTTCCAAATGAAAGTCGTCAGGACTCATAACAACTTTCAATTTGAACTATAAAATCGTTAAGACTAGTAATTAGGTATCACAGGATAACTTGTCCCTATCATGATTAGATTTTTTTATCATTATGTTATATTTTGTATGTCTTATAATTTTTATTATCTTAAACATTTATCTTCAAAATATTGTGTATATTAACTTTTTATCGTTATTATTATTATTATTTTTAATTCACATGTTTATTTTTCTAAGACTACCTAATTTTTAAAATTATTCCACACTTAGTTATGTTTAAAAAACAATAAAAAAGTTCGTAAAAAGTTTGAGTATAATTAAAGTCATAATGAGTCATGAGAACTTTAGTTTACTACAAAGTTTAATGAATTTACAAAGAAGTCGTCATGACTTAAATTACCCTATTTTTATAAATTACAGAAAAACTATCCTAATTTTTTGAAAATCTACCTTAATTTTCTCTTTTTTTCGGCGTTGTAGATAAAATATATGTAGCCTGCTTTATATGGTTTGTACGTAAAATATAATATATAAGATTAATATCTTCAATAAATTCGCTTCTTTGCATCTTTAAAAAATAAAAATACTATAATCAATTACATCTTATTACATAATAAAGTACTTGTTATTTGTCCGTAAATATTTAAATATTCTTCATTAAATTTTTGTATAGAAATAAAAAAGAGACATGAAATTCCAATAACGTTTATTATATCCAAGAAAAGACAAGAATTGGGGTATTGAAAAAATTTCTGCGTTAACTTTTGTTGATCGTGATATCAAGCCGACAAGGTGAGATCTGGCCAAAAGTACGTTTGCGTAAGTGAATATGTCACGTCCTTGTGTGTTTGAAACGAGTATTTAAGCATAACGTTTGACCCAAATGTAAGTAAAAAAATTATGTTACTTAGATTGGGAAGAAGATAAGATCAAAGAACTAATAAAAAATATCCTATAACACTAACACAATAGCTTCGGTGCCTATCCACCCAGCAAACAACCTCTTTTTTCTTGTTCACACGTCATCAGCTTTCGGTAATGCGAATCAAACGTTTTTTAATAATCTTTCTGTGGGCGTTATACCTTTTTTAAATCACCACTTTGTCCCATTCTGAACTAAACCAGCACGTGAAGCATTGAGCACATTGAAAACGTGATGAAATAAAAACGTGCTGAAATTGCAGGTTGTTGCAAGGTTCTCTGTACTTGGCATCAAGTGGGAACTTTAGGACTTGGTAAGAGAATCATCGGCACTGTCCCAGTGCGCATCACACGACAACATCTAACATCCTAGGTATGCACGCTGGGCTCCACCTCAGACTTTTGCCCCCAAAATTTTTCATTACCCAAACACATAACTGAATGTGTTCCAGTGCAGCCAACATCAGTTATTGTTAGAATATCCTTACCCATTCACGACACTGTCAGTTGTGACACTAAAAAACAACACATAATGAAGACAAACTTCTCCTTTTTTTACTTTGATGAATTCAACGTTGTTATCCGAAACCCATAACAAAAACTTTCAAATTGAAAGTGACACGAGTTAACATACTAAGTGTTCTCGAAACTAGCTACAATAGATGGTAATACGCTAGAAAGAAAAGAAGGTGAAAAAAGAGTTGTTAATGAAATAAAATATAGAAAAGGAACCCCTCGATTTGTTTGTACTTTGAAGCTTCCTCCGTAAAATCTAGCGGAAGAAAGATATACAGAAATATACGTAGTGGAGCTAGCTAAATGGTAATTAACAAATAATCTGACTTATCCGAGTTGTACTAATTTTTAAACACACACTACCAAAACTAGTAATTTTTCTTAATTAACTGAAACGATGGAAGTCGTCAGGAACTAAGAGTGTTCCCGGTGGCAGAGTCGGAAGAATCTCCAGTGAAATCCATCAGCATCATCAGCTGATGAAAATCAGCTTCGCCAATCCTGTCCCAGAATTCAGTATCTTTGTTTCCGAATTCCAGCGTCTCCATTTCCATGCTCTGGTTGAGATTCTCGTTCTTTATTTGTTCTTCAGCTGCAACCCTCTCTGGCTTGCTCTGCTGCATGCTTAAGGACTCATCCACTAAGGGAAAATTGAGCTTGGCCCGTGGGCCGCGGAACTCGATGGCGGCCTTGTCGTAGGCCCGGGCAGCATCCTCGGCCGTGTTGAAAGTTCCCAGCCAGACCCGTGCCGCACGGCGTGGGTCTCGAATCTCGGCCGCCCACTTACCCCATGGCCTCTGCCTCACGCCTCTGTATTTCTTCTTGACCCTCTTCTGTTTCTTTTTCTCCTCGGGGAAGAAATTGCAGCCCAAACAGCCAGCGATGTTGCACTCGCGACACGTGTCCATAGTGGGCGGCGAGAAGGTGTTTCCGGCGAGAGGCTGAGAGGCGTTGGGGAGGCGGAAGTCCGGGAGGGAGACGACGTCGGAGGAAGTGGAGCCGGCGACGACGTTGGTGAGAGCGGCGACGATGACGGAGAGTTCTTGCTCAGGGGTGAGAGTGGCGGGGGAGAAGGAGGAAGAGGAAGACATGGGAGTCGAAAGCAGTTGAAGAGAGTCAAATGGAGGGTGCCGGTGGTCTCTGTGTTTGGCGCGTCAAAGGATTTTTCGAACTGCAGGAAGTGAGAGGACGGGTTTGCTTATATACGGTTTGGGGGTGACGTGGCAGCTAAAGCCAGTTGTCAACACCGTTTTCACACGCATGTTAGTGATATTGATTTTTGATCACGTGTGTATACCAGAAACGTGACAGATAAGATTTTGAGGGTGACGTAGGAGGGTTGTGAGTGGTGATGGATTGCCACGGTGAAAGGTGTCGCGTGGGATTGGGAAAAGTAGCAATGTGAAGTGATTGAGCAACAGAAAATGTCTGGGACGAAGGAAATGGGAGATTTCACTTCACTCACTGCTTTAAATTGGTTTGACCTGTTCTTTCGCAAACCATTAGCTGGGTGCAACTGGACGGACTACTACGGATGTCAAACTTTGTCATGTTATTTAATATTGACCGTCAACGCAAACCATCACTATTTTACACATTCTTTCTTATTTTCATTTAACTTATCCTTTAATTAATAAAATATCATTGTACTCCATCAATAATTCTAAATTTCCTTATAATATTTCTTTAACTACTTCATCAAAATATTACATAGTTTTTCTATTTTAAATATCACACATACTATTTTATTAATCAATTTAACTATAAACGATTGCAAATACAATACAATATATATACACAGTTTCTTGTGCATCCCACCACATTTGTAGGTTCCATTAAATTTAACATTTTCATAAATTTTACTATTTTTAATTAAGTTTCTATTAATTATTTATGTATTTTATTTTTATATTAAATTTAATTTTTTCATAAATTGAATAATATAACTGTTATCCTGTTTTTATATCATGTTTACCTTTCTTAAATATTTTGAAAATTTGAGACTTTATAATTAATATAAAATAATATTATAATTAATATAATATAACATGTGATTTATATTATTTTTAGTGAAAATAATAAAATTTACGTATCATTTTACATTAATTATCGTATATTTTATATTAACTAAAAAATCTTACATATAAAAAGACAATTATTGAAGATGACACAAAAAACAATAACCACGTCAACTTATTAAAAAAATGAAAAAATTTAATTAAAAATCTAAATTTTTTAATACATAATAAATAAAAACTAATATAATAATAATTAAATTGTAAATATCTAAATCTATAAGTGTATTAATATTTAGTTAAGCCGAATTTATGTCAAAATTCATCACGTTTCATTAATCCACCTTTATTAATCAATCAAATATTATAGTGAAAGATAAAATAAATATAATTAATAAATATTAAGTAAAATGTACTTCGGTTATCAATTATTTTTTTCACACGTCAATTTCATTTAAGGTTTTTTTAGATGTTTGGTGTAAAAATGTTAATTAATAAATACTTGAAAAAACAATTCTTATTTATCTAAGAAAGTTTAGTTCATATATATGAGTTATTTCACCCGATCTAACAAGTAAATCCACATGATTATTTTAATTAAGTTTTACATAGAAAACTTAGAAAGTCAACACTAAGGGATGAATAGTATTGACTTTGTGTTTTAACATGTAGTATTGGTTTAACTTATGCAAAGATTGACACAAATCTAATGCTAATAATTTATTAGTGTCAGTTTAACTAATATGTTTTTTTTTTCTAGCATATGGATCTATTATGTAGAGCAAATAGATTACAAAAAATTTATAGCAGTTACTAAATGAAATTTTGTATATATCTAACAAAATATATAAAGTTCATTGGTTAACATGATCTATATTATGACATGTGAAAGTATACAAAACATATGAGATGATATATTTAATATTTTTTAAATTTTTTGCTAAATCCGTGTTTGATAAAAGTACTTATATTAACTTGAAAAAGTACAATCAATAAGTTTTCGTAAGACCAACATTTGATGAAGATAATTTTGAATCAGATGCAATTTTGAATTTACGTATTGCCAACATATTTCTGTAAATTTTATTTTACAAAAACAATCTTTATTTATTTACTTCCGGTTTAACAATATTTAATTCAAAAATATTAAAGTGTAGACATTTACGCTTACTTGATGCTTTTTATACTAGTTTTTCTTTAAATCGAAATCATGTTCATTTTTTATCAATAATTTTTATACTCATAAATAAAAGATATTGAGATTATTTAAATTTTGTAATATAGAGCATAATTATCATATATTGTATTCGATCTTTATTATTTTTCATATAGAAAATTAAATTTGGGTTTAAGGATTAAAAAGTAAAAGAATATTTTCCTCAATTAATCTTATTTATTGACGTAAAATAAATAGAATAATATTAGGAAATTAATTAGATAACATATATTTAGAAAACTAATTATAAACTAAATATATGTTTATCTAAAATACAATAACAAAATATATTTAAATATATTTTAACATACTCCCACAGTCAAAGTAGGAGGACGACGGATACTGAGACTATCTCTAAAATCATTAAACAACACACGAAGAAATTCCTTAGTAAAGACGTTTGCGATCTGATATCGTGAAGACACATGAAGAACATGAACCTAACCACGTGCAACCTTTTCCCGTACAAAAATGTATGTCCATCTCAATATGTTTGGTAAGTTGATGTTGCACCGGATTGCCCAACAAATAAATAGTACTAATATTGTCACAATACACAATAGTAACCTTGGTAACCGAACAATGCAATTGTAATAACAAATTTTGAAGTCAACACTACTCAAAGACCACATTAGAAACACCCATATACTCGACCTCTGCACTAGACCGAGAGAGTGTATTGGCGCTTAAAGGACCATGACACCAAGTTGTCACCCAAAAACACACAATAAGTCGAGGTAGAACGTCTCTTATCAAGGCACCCACCCCAATCAACACCACTATTAGAAACAAGAGATGAGGTCGAAAATAAATTGAGATGAAGACCAAGATCAAGTGTACCTTATAAATACCGGATAACAATTTAAGAGCTTACATATGGTCAACCCTCGGATCATGCATATATAAGCATGTCTGTTGCACCACATAAGAGATATCTGATCCGGTGAAAGTGAGATATTGTAGAGCCCCAACAAGACTCCAATAAAGAGTGTGATCCTCATAAGTTGCGCTAGAACAAGTACCCATCTTAGCGTTGGTGTCAACCGGCGTTGGAGACGACTTGTAAGAAGACATATTTGCCCAACCAATAATTTTTTTCGACACATTTGCGTTGTGAAAGGAACATATCACCCTTATGTTAGGTCACTACAATGACAAGAAAATAGTTCAAAGGACCAAGGTCCTTCATAGTAAATTTCTAGCTCAAAAGGTTCATAATATTTAATCGGAGAGCACAAGAAGAGGCACTATGTATAATGTCATCTACATAAAACAAAATGCAAGCCATGTGCGAACCCTTTCGATAAATAAATAATGAGTGATCACATTTGTTATTTGAGAAATCAAGAGACGACATAATCAACAAATTGCTTATACCAAGCACGAGGTGCTTGTTTAAGCCCATATAATAACTTACCCAAACGACACACATAATCCGGATGAGTACGGTCACGATACCCCAATGGTTGATGCATATAAATTGTTTAATCCGGATGAGTACGGTCACGATACCCCAATGGTTGATGCATATAAATTGTTTCTTATAACTTAATATGAAGAAAAACATTTTTGACATCCAACGAATGAATGGGCCATGCCTTTGAAAAAGATATATAAAGAACGATGCAAATCATAGCCGATTTAACTACTAGGCTAAAAGTTTCTCCACAGTACCCCAATGATTGATGCATATAAATTGTTTCTTGTAGCTTACTATGAAGAAAAACATTTTTGACATCCAACTTATGAATGGGCTAGGCCTTTGAAAGATATATAGAAAGCACGATACAAATCATAGCCGGTTTCACAACTAGGCTAAAAGTTCCTATAAAGAGTGTGATCTTCATAAGGTGCGCTAGAACTAGTACCCACCTAAGCGTTGGTATCAAACGGTGTTGGAGACGACTTGTAAGAAGACATATTTGCCCAACCAATAATTTTTTCGACACATTTGTGTTGTGAAAGGAACATATCACCCTTATGTTAGGTCACTATAATGACAAGAAAATAGTTCAAAGGACCAAGGTCCTTCATAGTAAATTTCTAGCTCAAAAGGTTCATAATATTTAATCGGAGAGCATAAGAAGAGGCACTATGTATAATGTCATCAACATAAAACAAAATGCACGCCATGTGCAAACCCTTTCGATAAATAAATAATGAGTGATCACATTTGTTATTTGAGAAATCAAGAGACAAGACATAATCAACAAATCGCTTATACCAAGTACAAGGTGTTTGTTTAAGCCCATATAATGACTTACCCAAACGACACACATAATCCGAATGAGTACGGTCACGATACCCCAATGGTTGATGCATATAAATTGTTTCTTATAGCTTAATATGAAGAAAAACATTTTTGACATCCAACTAATGAATGGGCCAGTCCTTTGAAAGAGATATATAAAGAACGATGCAAATCATAGCCGGTTTCACTACTAGGCTAAAAGTTTCTCCATAGTACCCCAATGGTTGATGCATATAAATTGTTTCTTGTAGCTTTCTATGAAGAAAAACATTTTTGACATCCAACTGACGAATGGGCTAGGCCTTTGAAAGATATATAGAAAGAACGATGCAAATCATAGCCGGTTTCCTACTAGGTTAAAAGTTCCTATAAAGAGTGTGATCCTCATAAGGTGCGCTAGAACTAGTACCCACTTTAGCATTGGTAACCGGCGTTGGAGACGACTTGTAAGAAGACATATTTGCCGAACCAATAATTTTTTTGACACATTTGTGTTGTGAAAGGAACTTATCACCCTTATGTTAGGTCACTACAATGACAAGAAAATAGTTCAAAGGACCAAGGTCCTTCATAGTAAATTTCTATCTCAAAAGGTTCATAATATTTAATCGGAGGGCATAAGAAGAGGCACTATGTATAATGTCATCAACATAAAACAAAATGCAAGCCATGTGCGAACCCTTTCGATAAATAAATAATGAGTGATCACAT